ACAAAGACACAAAACCAAATACGAAAATAAAGAGAAAGGAAAAGATACAAACGTACAGGGCACAGTGACTAGACTAGTCACTGTGAATCCGGTGGTACAGGAGAAGGGTCAAAGAAGTCAGGCCCCGAACAGCAGTGGGCCTCTGTCAGCTCAAATCTCTCGCCCCATTGGGATCGGGGCAACTCTCTGGAACTCGGCTGGGGTGGTGTAGTGTGGCGGTCAGTCTGGCATACTTTCTCAACACAAGCTCGGTCTTGTAAAGACCTCTTCGCGTAAGCTCTCTCACACGCTTCGGCAACCAACTACTCGATCGCCCTAATGGACATGCATTTCTCCACCAAATGTGTCTGCGGCTCAGGCTTGGTCTTTCGAACGGAAATGGCGACGGACTCGCCCAGCACCGTCATGTTCAGCGTCCCACTCTTGACGTCGATCATCGTGTTTGTGGTTGCCATGAACGGTCGCCCGAGGAAGATGGTGTGACCCCGATCCCTCCGTCACCCCAGAATGCAGGGGGTGACAACAAATGTTGGAATGGGCTACGCATCACAGGGGCAGCTACGCTACTTCTGTCTCTTTCTCTTGCACTTCTCCCACATCTAGCACGACGAAGTCAACAGGCACAATCAACTTCCCAACTCGAACAAGTACGTCCTCCACAATTCCCTCGGGTTGACAGAGCGAGCGGTCGGCGAGCTGGCGCATTTTGGTGGGCTTCAAACCGTTGAGCCCAAGTCGCCAATAAATAGAAAGGGGCATGAGATTTATGCCTGTTCCAAGGTCGAGCATTCCCGAGGCCTCCTTTTCACTCTCAAAGGCTATATCGATCACGAAGCCCTCGGGATCTTTTTCTTTCCATGGCAAGTCATGCCGGAAGAGACTGGCTACCTCGCATATAATCACCCCATCGTCACTCTTTACCCGCCTCTTATTCGTTGCTACTTACTTACGAAATCTTGCGTAGGCCGGGATTTTCTTCATCACGTCGAGAGGAGATAAACCAACGTTGGCCTTAGCCAACATGGTGTGGAGGTCTCGTATCAGCTTACGGTCCTTCTCCTCCAGAAGTCGACTCGGGAATGGGATCCTTGGTCTGTATGGGGTCGGGGCTCTGTGTAAAGTAGGCTCAAGTGACGGTGTCACTGGGGGCTCTTCTTCCGATTTTCCTTGCTCCTTCGGGCCCTCTTCCTCTTGTTTCTCCACGTGGGCAACCGTCTTCACCTCGGGCTCGGGCATCAGCACTGTAACTGTATTCACGTGCTCCGGCTGGCTCGGTAGTCTATCTTTCTTCAACTCCGCCTCAATGTTCTCCACTCGGGTGGCTAACTGGCCTATTTGTGCTTCCAAACGCTTAATGGAAGCCTCACTATTCGCACTTCGCTGCTCGCTATTGGCCATGTACTGAAGAATTTTATCCAGTTTTTCATCTGAGTTAGGCGGGCTCGGTCCGGCTTCCGGTGCTGGCAATCTTAACATTTGTCTCCTGTATTGCTGATAATGGGGGGCAAAGTTAGGCTGAGATGGCTGCTAAGAGTTGTTGTTCGACCAGGAGAAGCTTGGGTGGTTTCTCCACCCGGGATTATATGTGTTCGAGTATGGGTCATTCCCGAGCCTGTTTTGGTATCCTTGCACTGCATTTATCTCAGTACCTTGTCCCCCATAGTTTGGCTCGATAGCCATCGGGCACACCTCAGAACTGTGTCCCTGTACTCCGCATTCTCCACAAGCACTCACTGCCATAGCCTGAATATGCGAGGAATTTCTAGCGTTTAGTAGCCGCATCTGTTCTGTGTGCTCGGCTAACTGCTGGGCCATGGCATTATTCCCCGGTCCGACCTCGTTCACTGTGGTCTTCTTCCCTCTACTGCTTTTCTGAGACGAGTTAACACTCATCGTCTCGTAAATTGCAATCATCTCCTCGGCAGTTTTGGCTCCAATATCCCCTCCGGCTGCATTGTCCACCATGTATTGCAAGTTCTGATGGAGGGAGTCGTAGAAACAGTTCGCTAGTAGTCCCAGAGCGAGGTTGTGGTGGGGACACTGCCTCTGAAGGTCTTTGAAGCGTTCCTAGGCCTCGTGAAGAGGCTCGTGTGGCAGTTGAGCGAAGGAGACTATCTGGGAACGGATGTCTTGGGTCTTCTGATGGGAATAGTATTTCCCAACAAATTTTGAGTAGACTTCGGCCCAAGTTGTAAGAGAATCTGGGGCTAGGGTCATGAACCAGGCTTTGGCCTGATCCTGTACTGTCTCCGGAAAACACCGCATCCTCAAATAATCCTCAGACAGCCCATGCAAAGGAAAAGTCTGGAGGACGTTATAAAACTCCCAGAAGAAGTGGAGTGGGTCCTCGTTGGCGAGCCCATGGAACGATGGGAGCTGATTGTAGTGGACCATCTTCAGCTCATAATTGCGGGTGGCTTATGGCAACCGGATGCAAGAGGTGATTGGCCCGATCATAGGTTGGGCCAGGTTTCTGAGCACATTACGGGGAGCTTGTTGTTCAGCCATGTTTGAGTTGCTTCCCTCGGATGATTTTGGAGACTGCTGGTCTTTTTCTTGTGATTCCAGCGTCAGCTCGTCTAGCAGTTCCCTCAAGCTTTCGCTAACCGACTTGTTAATTGGAGATAGTACACGTCCACTCCTGGTACGCATACACTCAAGAAACAAACAGGTTACGAGCACCAATAGTAAACAAGAGAAAATAAAATAAAAACAAAAGCAAAGAACTACCTCCTAAACAAATAAAAAAAGAAATAAAGAGAAACACAGAAAAATAAGCGAACAAAAGCACAAAATATGTCCTAAACCTTCCCCGACAACGTCGCCAATTTGTTGTAAATATTTTTTTACCGGAGCAGAATCGAAAGATTCGACACCGGGTCACGGTGAAGAAATTAAATAAAACAAGTAAATAGCAAACGGGCACGTAGAATAAATAAGATTTAACGAAGCTAGGGAGTCGGGGATATCCGCTTTGGTTCGAGATGCAACTAACGGGCAAGTGATTGTTCAGCCAAGAAATTCGAATAATCTACCTGATCAAACATTCATTCTCAATAACTCTTCGTAACAAGAGAATAAACTAGAACGACAAATTAATGAGTCAATTAACTCCTAGGCAATACAGTTATGAACAAGCCTAATTCATGCGAATCTATTTCGACCGACTCCTCCCCTTTCGGTTCTAAGAGTCGATTAAATAATCCTAGAAGATGGTTAATCAACTAGTCGATATCGGATTACCAAAATCACGCAAGAACGAATCAAATTCAATTAAATAATTGCAAATCAAAGTGTCACCCTTCAATAATTCTCAACATTCAAGCATAAATCGAAAACCCTAATTAAGCATGAATCGCATAAATTGAACAATCTTGAGCCCGACAATCACACACGAATTCAAAGCATCGATCCCCTATTCCCTAGCAATTAATTTAGCTACTCATAATTGAATCAACAATAATCATCATCTCAATCGAAAGATCCATATCATCAATTAAATGAAAGAGAAATCTTACAATTGATAAAATCCCAATGTCGAATTCGGTAAACAAGATTAACCCCGAAAGCAATAGCCAAATCCGAGTTTAAATCCGAGTTCCACGATCAAAAGTAGGAAGAAAAAGAAGAACGAGTGAAAGAAAAACGATCAAAGCTTAAAACCTAAGCGTCCAACCTAATACAAATGAGTTCATAAGATTTTTCTTTTTAAAATTTGCACAGCGCGTAAGTCGCGGCCGCGGAGGGGCTCGCGGGCCGCGGTGAAGAAGAACTTCGCGGCCGCGACAAGCTCCGAGGCCACGAGTTTTCTCCTCTGAAGTTGAGCGCTGGAAACGACTTTGTTCGCCGCGGCCGCGGGAGAGAAAGTCGCGGCCGCGGTCAAGGATTCTGGGTGCTGGGAAAAAAAGCAGCAGCGGGCGCGGCATGACAGTCTTTCACGGCGCGGAGCGACGGCGCGGCGCGACAACTCTCCCCTGCGCGGCGCGGAAAGCTTCACGGCGTGGCATGGCGGAAACCTGGGAGCTCTCTGTCACGTCGGGGCAGCAACGCGGCGAGACGGCTGGGACCTTCACGTCGCGACTCTCTCATCGCTGCGCGGCAGGAGGGTGGTCTCGCGGCGCGACGAGAACAGCTTCGGTAGGTTGCAGCGGCAAGAAGGAGGTGCTATCGTCATGGTGGAAGGTGGAGGAGAAGCTGCTGTCGGTCGACTTGGTGGTGCTCGGAAATCTTGAGTATTAAGTGTCGGCGTGAGAAGAAGAGGCTAAACGGGAGGGAGAGCTTTTTGGGAAGCATGCTCGACTCCTTGTCTCGGACCCGTTTGAGTTCGGTTGGGAACAGAATTTGGTTTCGTTTTCCTCGGTGCAATGGTGACGAGCCCTTCTATTTATTATGTTTGCTCGGTTGACTATTTTCAAAAATTTTAATCTCTCGAGACATCCAACCTACACACTAAAAACGACAAACAATCGGAAAGCGACCGAGAAAATACCAGAAAGACCAAAATAAATCAAAAAACGAAATAGACTATAAAATAAACTAGAACTCGACTAAACGACTCATAACGGGGGGAAAAGAAAGAAAAATAAATGCGTAAAACGCAACAAAAATGGAACAAACATTATGCCAAATAATTTGATGATTTCATTTATAGATAAATTTCAGTTTTATTTTATATATTTTAATTGTACCATAGGAATAAAAAATAGTATATTTGATGTAGAGTAAAATGTAGAGATAAGTACTAGAGATGAATGTTTAACTTTATTTAGAGTGGAGTAAAATTCGCGGTAAAGTAGAGATAATGGCTGGAGATGGCTTAGCAAGGGAAAAAGACTAAAAAGGATGCAATTTGAAAGGGGCATTCTTGTCATTCTAAAGTCAAAAGCCGAAAATTTACTAGAACACCCGTCTTCGATAAGAAGCAGAACCACAATATTTGTATCCGACAACCTCACACGCTGATCCAAGCCAGAGAGAAAAGCGATCAATAGACAGACAAAATGGGGGGAGGAATGGAGGTAAACAAGAACCGATGGATCGAGGAGTGGTCATCGGCGAGAGAGAATCTCGAGTTAAACTTCCGGTGGACCCGCCGCAACTTGGCCCTCGTCGGAATCTTCGGTATCGCCGTCCCCGTGCTCGTCTACAAAGGCATAGTCAAGGAATTCGTGAGTGTTTATCATTTATTTCCTTGGAAACGATGTTGGTGATTTTTGTTTTCGATTATTGTTCTTTCTGTCTCGAACTGGATCTGATGTTGCCCTAATTAAGCTGTCAAGGCAAGATCCTTGTACTCTTTGTCACGATCGTTTCCCGCACTGGATCTTTGAGTTATTGAGCTATTTTCTGCTTCCACTGGCTTTAAAAAGCATAAGATTTTTCCTTTTTCAAATCTGGGGATTATTTTTTGTTAACCAAATGTATTGGACTCAGTCACTAAATAGAGGTAGTCGGTCTGTGAAACTCTGAAAGCCATGTGTTTTCCTTAGGCTAATGTCCTTGTTAATGAAGTTTCTCGTTTGATTGTTGTAACAGCTAGTATATAGTGAAGTCCTGTAATTACAGGGGCCTCATGTAAGTTAAGGTCTAAATTTTACTTTGTCATCATGGCATATGGGTTTCTTCGATAACTGCTAGGAAATACATCACGAGCACTGTGGTGGTATAGATCATAAGGGATGTTCTTTTTAATCTGCGAATCAAAACTTGATTCCTACATTCTCGAAGTAGTGTATCTTCGTATTAGTAGTGCAGCCGATTTGCACCTCATCCAAACTCAGTAGTATCTAGCCCTAGGTTGCATAATGTGTCTCAAAGATGGTTTTCTAGATCTTTGAATAGATTTCTAGCCTTTTATTCTGTTAAATTGTCATTGTCATACCATTATTTTCAATTTTATTTCTATAAAGTCTTTTTGGTGATAGAGTTGGTTGATGTTCAGCTTTCTCTTATTAAGTGAAAGACATTGCAGCTAAAAATACATATATCTCATGCATTTGGTGTTTGAGTTAGGCCTTAGTCTTGAAAGGCGCCTCCGTGGCAAGAAGTGGCATGTGCGTTTGTAAATCACATTGTTACTTGCTGAAGCGGCCTCGGATTTCCATTGGCCATTAAAAACTTTTAGTTTGGTCATCTTGTAAATTGATATTTGCTCAATGCCTCTTCACCTTCATTATAGTCTTATGCATGGAATTCTGTAACTCTTTAATGGGCGACCGAGATAACTTTTTCTTGTTGTTTCTTCCCTTGGTGCTTTATTTGACTGTATTAAGAATGGTCTTCATTACGCTAAAAGAATTTGTCTTACAAATCTGCCTTTTCGAGAGTTTATAGTGGCTAGCTACAAAGGTTATCATTGGGAAGTTATTTTGATTTGCCACCTCCATTTGTGTAATATTTTCTTTTTCTCCTTTTCTTACAGTGTTTTAAATTTAAGTTATTGACTTATACAACATTCCTCTGTTGTTTTCTGTTGGTAATCAACGAGTCTTCTCCAATATTATAGCCTCAGTTTATGGTCATTCTTTTGTGGCAGCACATGCAAGATGAAGATGCAGGGAGGCCATATCGCAAATTCTGGCTGTCTTAGTTGTCTCAAATGAATGTGACGGAACTTGAACACTGGTTTTCTTCTGGACCTATTTATCAGTGCCATTTTCTAGTTTATCCATGTCCTTGTTGTGATTTCTCTTTTTAAGAACCTACTTTTGCGGTAGTTGGAACATTTTAATAAAGCTGATATGTATATCAACTTTTTGTATCAGTTTGGCTGATAAATGACTATTCGCATGCTTTCAAATATATGGTCTTGTTTGTAGGAGAATAAATTTTTGCCTTGTTAATTAACAATTATCAGAAGGAAAATAATAGACATCTCAAGCTACGAGTAGCGACTTAAATGGAACACAACTGATGCTATTTATGTTGTAATAACTTTCTCCATGTTGAGAACTCAAGTCAGTCTAATAGAACCTTGTGATTTAGGAACTACATTTATAGAAACAAGTATAATGAGGAAAAAAAGTACCTCGAGTATATTACGAAGTCGGCCATTAGATGACTTTTCAAGTTGTTTATTGTAAATGGTCTTATATTTTATATATTTCCTACCCATTTAACTGAAACATAAAAAAGGAAATTAGTTCGTTATATTCTTTTTTTTTTTTTTTTCCAAACGATAGAGCACTTCTTGCGTTAACCAGAAAAAGTTTACAACAACTAGAAAATACATGAAACTAGTTGAAACTGAGAGAGCCACATGCAAGTGGTCTAGAAAACAATCACAACACAAACACCTAGAAACAACCAACAACTAAGGGAATTAAGCTGTGACAAACCACCGAGCCTTTATCCCTAACCATCCAGACTACAACCAGGCAAATAAGAATTAGACAGACCACTGATGCAAGAGCGTAGTCCATCATAACTAACCATTACCTTCAACCGGCTTGATTCACACTACTTCCCAAAAAACTTTTCCAATCCCGAACAACAGTTTGGACAATGAGATGTGCATGCCTTCTTACTCTCTCAAAGAGCCATAAATTCCATGATTTCCAAAGTCACCAAAGAATGTATGTCGAGAGTCGAATTCTAGCTTCGGAAACCTTGGATTTCTCTAACTAACACAGCTGCCACCACCAAATTTTAAATGATTCTTGTTTCTGAGGTCCATCCCACCTGACTGGAGCCATTTTCCACATTGAAAAAACAGATGTTCTAAAGTTTCTTCTACTTCCCCACAACTCCTGCTTTATTGTGTCTACCTTGAACCTTCTAGCTTTAAGATTCATGGTTACTGGAAGAGAGCCATTACAACATTTTCACAAAAACTATTTTACTTTCCCATGATTTTGAGCTTCCAGCACATGTTCCTGACTTTGATGTCCCTACCTAGATCAGCACTGCCTTGGGCTCTTTCCAATTTCAGGTACTTCTCTGTAATTAGTTTATGATCAGTGGAGTGGACAGAGAACATACCTCTTTTATGTAGTGACCATAGCCATTTATTGTGATGCCCCATGTGATTATTGGATTTTTTGGATTATTATTTATTGGCTTTATTATTATTGTTTGGATTAATTGCCTAATTTAATTGAATGCTTGATTATTAAATATATTATTGTGTGAAATGTATATATATATATATATATATATATATATATATATATATATATAATGCAAGTGTGAGCGTCCTGGTCCGGTTCAGAATAGATTGCCTTTGTCCTCGCCGGTAGAACGCCGGAAACCTACAAATAACTCTTACACCGGTGGTTTTTCCGGTGAAGAGCCTTCGATGCTTAAGTAAGTATATGTATGAGTATACTTGAGTTGAATAATGGAAATCGTGTTAAGGAAGAAAGGCTCACCCCTCTTTATATAGGGGTGAGATACCTGACCTAAGAGCTGCCCGGGTATGGTGAGCTGGCTGCCCCAGCTGCCCGTCCGTACTCTACATGCCGCGCGTATGTCAGAGGTGGTGCTGGGAGTTGTCAGAGGTGGTTTTCGCTGTCAACCAATGCATTCTCGCCACGTGTCCTCTGCACATGGGACGATAATTCCTATGAATATTCCCCTGAAATTCGGTTAGAGGCTCTTACACGCGCCTGTGACTAGGTAAGTCTCCAAAAATACTGCCAACCCATAAAGTGGTCGATCTATTGAGGTCAACTCGACTGCTCGATTGCTCGACTACTTGACTGCTCGACTACTTGGCTGGTCAACTGCTTGGCTGGTCAACTGCTTGGCTGGTCAACTGCTCGACTGGTCGACTACTTGACTGCTCGACTACTTGACTGCCCGACTACTTGATTGCTTGACTACTTGACTGGTCGACTGTTTGGCTGGTCGGCTGCTCGACTACTTAACTGCTCGACTGACTCGGCTTCCTCCCGGTACAACCTCTTCGACCGGTTCGGAAGACCGGTTTAGCCTTGTGGGTATAATATCCTATATCATCTAGAAATAAGGTTGTCTGCCACGCGTCCTCTCTGCCGCGCTTGCACGCCTGCCACTTGCCATTTAGACTTCACCAGAGTGGGGGGGGACTTAATGATATAGGATATTATACCCATAAGACTAAACCGGTCTGCTGAACCGGTCGAAGAGGTTGTACCGGGAGGAAGTGATCCAGTCGAGTAGTTGACCAGCCGAGCAGTTGACCAGCTAAGTAGTCGAGCAGTCAAGTAGTCGAGCAGTCGAGTTGACCTCAATAGATCCACCACTTTATGGGTTGTTTTTATTTTTGGATACTTACCTAGTTACAGGCGCGTGTAAGAGCCTCTAACCGAATTTCAGGGGAATATTCAGAGGAATTATCATCCCATGTGCAGAGGACACGTGGCGAGAATGCATTGGTTGATAGCGAAAACCACCTCTAACAACTCCCAACACCACCTCTGACATACGCGCGGCATGTCAGAGTACGGACGGGCAGCTGGGGCAGCCATCTCACCATACCCGGGCAGCTCTTAGGTCAGGTATCTCACCCCTATATAAAGAGGGGTGAGCCTTTCTTCCTTAACACGATTTCCATTATTCAACTCAAGTATACTCATACACATACTTACTTAAGTATCGGAGGCTCTTTACCGAAAAAACCCCTGGTGTAAGAGTTATTTGCAGGTTTCCGACGTTCTACCGGCGAGGACAAAGGCGATCTATTCCGAACCAGACCAGGATGCTTACACTTGCATTAATATATATATATATATATAATATTACCGGTGGATTTATTTTAATTTTCGATCGTCGTTCGAGTGAACCGAGTATTATTTTAAACCCATGATCGAACCTTTTTTATTGAATTGTCGAACCTTGGAGAACCGGCCCGTGCGCCCATAGCAAAGCCGCGTCCCATGCCCTTCGGCCTGAACCCGCGTGCCCGAACCACCCACGCCCAACCCCTCTCTCCCTCTTTTCTTGTTTAGCAAGTATGCCTTAACTTAGTATTATAAATATATGTCAAACCCTTCTCTTCTTCTTCACATTACGCCGCAAACACCCTTACTCTCTCATCTCTCGCTCGCGTAAGAAGAGAAATCCCTTCCCTTCGTATAATCCGATTGCCGCATCCGTGCTCACCCTCGGCCGCCGTGCACCACCGCAAGCAGCGTCCCTATCGCTGCACCACGCGAGGCTCAACCCCTGGTGTACTCTGTTCCCTGCTCGCGAAGTCATCCCATCACGCCCTGTGATTCTCCCTGCTCGAAACGTGCCCTGTTGTTCGCATACCATCGTCGTTCAGCACCCCGTGAACACCAACAGCAGACCTCCATGCACGATCGTCGCCCCGCAGTTCCCTTGTCGCTGTCCCAGGCCACTGTGAACACGCTGTCGCGTACCGCAGAGCACGCGCACCCGTGGCGAGCCAAGCAACGCTATTGAGCCTCGATACGCACGCACCAGCAGCCCGTCTCAACCCTTCTCTCGATCTCTCGTGTGTTTTTCATTAGAATGGTACATGATGGCTTGAAACCCCTTGTTTTTATGTGTTTATATGTATATTGATGTGGCCCTTGCTGATTCTCATGTTAGGGTTTTTTTGTGTTTAATGGAACCTTGATTTGTCCTTTGGGCTCATGGTGAAGGCCTTGGACGATTTTATTGAGTATTGTGGCCTATGTGAATTTTTTAAGTTGGTTTAGACTCAGGTTTTTGTAAAAATCATGATAAATTCTATACTCGGCTAAATGAATTGAAATTTTGAGGGTTGAACCCTCTGATAATGAGGTTTATTGTGAAAAAATTTCAAGTTAAAACTCGACCTTTAGTTATGTATTTTGAGGGTTTGACGTTCTGGTCAGATTCTTAACAAATTGATATAAAATCGAGTCTGAGGTATTTTGAGTTGAAATTTTGTGGATTTTGTTTATTTGCCTTTATGTTCAATGTGTCAAAATATCACTTTAAAATTCGAAGGTTTGCCTACGGAACCAGGAACATCAGATTTGGACTGTTATTTTGCAAAAATGTTTTCACCAGGTTAAAATGATTTCTAAGGGTTGACCTCTGGTGTATTGGTGTGTTTTTGGGTCTATTTTAATGTGGTAAAATTTCGTTGAAATCGTCTGAGTGTATTTTCAAAAGGTTCGGTTGTGTTTGAATTCCTGTCTGTTTACCAGGGCCCTATTCCCCTTGCCTGTGCCCAGCCTGCACCGCCCGCGTGCGTGCCTAGCGCCCAGTGCCGTTGATGAATGATCGTGTTTTTTTTCTATACGGTTTGTGAACAAACGGCGCACTAGGGCCTTCGTTTATCCACGATAGGTGTATCTAACAGACGCACTACGGCCTTCTCCTAGATACCGTGACTTCAAGACGCTCTAATGGCCTTCTCTCCGACACTGTATGTAAACACGCACTAACGGCCTTGTTTAAACACACGTTAAGAACATCAGTTCCCCCTCAAGATTGGCTCACCAATTCAATACTTCATTCAACTTGTAAAATATGATGAGGTACATGGGGTATTTATAGTTGCAAAATAAATCTAAGCCTAATTCTACTAGATCTCCTAAATCTTGCAAGAATAGAAATCCTAACACTAGAAAGCAATAAAATCCTAAACCTACCAAATAACTAATGCTTGGC